TACTCTATTTGCTACCTTAAATTTTTGTAAACAAAATGTGACATCGAATTTATCAATGACACAATCACATTTCGCTGGTATTTTAATTGTAACTTTCTCTGGCCGTATTATAATTTTTTAGTAATTTGAAGGTAGATTTTTTCAAATAACTTTTAGATTCCTATTCCAAATAAAACGAAATTCTAGACAAAAGTACAACTTTAACGCCTCATCAAAAAAGTCTAATACAAGTTTTGCATTAAATTATTTGGAGAGATAATATATGATCTATTCAAAAATTTCACCACACGGTATAGCTGTTTAAAGCAACTTTATTTTTTGTTTTAGGATGATGACACAGCCTCATCTACCTGAAGTTCACGAAGAATTTATCTATCTGTTTCTTCACGCCTGCCACTACGTCCACGAAAGGACCAAAAGCGCCATAGAAACATGGTTTACCATCAGAGCAATACATCCTAATATCTTCTCAAACAGAGACCCCATGGAGCCCAAGATGAAAAATTTGATCGATATGGGGTGAGTAAAATAAAACAAAAAATAATCCTCCTCCTTCCTACTACCACAGATTAGGTATCCTATAAGTATACAGATAATAATCTTGTCCCTAATTCGTGGTACGAAAATTGTTTTTTACGACGATGTGCAAACGAGTAAAATTTTCTGTGCGCAAAAATAAACTCGCGTAAAATAACAATAAACAGCGTAATAGAGAGATATCGCTAAACCGAATAGCGTACATGGACGTTAGTAAGGCCAGGTGTGGTGGTATTAACTCTCTTCGTTTATAGTTATCGGAACGGAAAGAATTCTGTTCGCGTCGCATCCGCTATTTAAACTTAACCTAACTTTGAAATTGTTTTGTTTACTAGGTATTTTAAAACTAAAGGGCTAAAGTGCTTATTTCCAGTGCTTTATTGTTCAACGTCTGCCAGTGGGTTTAGGGCAACAAACAACAAATTCTCTTAGAAGGGCTAAGTCGTCATCTGCTGTAAACCTAAGCCTCTTTATAGGTTCTTTAATATTGGAAGAGGTGGAATCCATATTTTGGGCCATATTTATTTAATTAAAACTAACCCCAGCTACTTAAATATCAAATTACCTAATAAAACTAAAGTAATAATTCAAAACAGTTCAAACATAACCTAAAATAAAAGATCTCGCCGGCCGGCCCCGGTTGTCAAATACTCGCACATGCCCATTTAAGCAATTTTTAAACGTTATTTAGAAATAGCGCTTGGTGTAATTGATCCGCAACTTGATCGTAACCATGATAAGGTACGCGTAAATACTGCATGACGCTATTCGGTTTTCCGATATCTCTCTAATAACTGTGCCGGTCAGGCGCTGTGCACAATTTTAGAGGCCATAAGTGGGCGTGCTATGTGCGCAAACTAGTAACCTAACTATTGCCCGATTTCGAAAATTGGAACCACGAAAAACAATAAAGAAAAAACAAAGTTTATAATCTGTATAATCTGTGCTACTACTACTCTATGAGAGTCATAGAAGAAGGAAACATGTTTAGATTGGAAAGTGCCCATAAGGACAATGTGTAAAATACTATATTTGGCGCTTTTTTTACAAAGGTCGCTCTCCAAAGCTTTTGATAATTTCGGAGCGGTTCGGCTTTTTCCGGAATTATATGTCGATAAATATTGTTTATTCAAATTTATTATTTTCTTTTAATTTTTTTAAATAAAATGCAGTGTGTTGCATATAAGAAACTATATTTTATATATGGACATGTATGAAATACCTATGAAACATTGGAAACCGACGTTATTGTGCCTCTCCATGTTGTTTCGTCTTGGGCAGTACTTTGAACTGGCCTCTCTGTCTGGATTATTCTAATAAACCCCATAATAATTGTAGAAAACACTGCTGCATTTTGCGTCTAAAATGGTACTAGACATCAAGTTGTAGCTTTTATTTCTACCAAAATTTTTGTAGATCTCCAAAATAGTTGAATACGCTTCATTTTATAGGCTTGGTGCATTTCAGCTGATTTCAAAAAATTCCGACCGCAGCGCTGTATACGGCAGAAATCAGAAACATTTTCGCTATGTATTTCACATTTCACGTCGTTCCGGTTACAGTTCATGTTGATCGCATTAAAATAATATTGAAATTGTGGCTTTGTAATAACATTTAAGTATTTTAGTTTTTTGCTCGTGTAGTTATCTAAACTATAAAACACTCAAGTACGAGGTGTGTGCGATTCAAACAGTTCGACGAAACAAGTGAGTAAACAAAGTGCTCGTTACATAATAAAAAAATTAAATAGACATATACCATGAGAGGATAAAATATAATTTGAAGGATAAATGATATACTTTTTTTAATCAACTAGTGGTTAAATGTTTTGTGAACATCTTCTAAAATTATAATTATGTACTTTTAAAAAATTTCGCTATAGCCGAATTATCCCCAATTAAGACCCCACTAGCAAAACCGGTGCGTAAAACTATGCTCGCTATCGTAGTTGAACTCATCTAAAATTTTTTTAGCTGTAATAATAAATTATAATACAAGTTAGACCTTCTGAAGATATCAGAATATTTACTTTTTTATTTTTATTTTTAGAATTTTAACAAATTATACTTCCTAACACTTTTGGAATAATTATACAGGGTGAGTCTTAAATAAGTGCAAATATTTTCAGGGATGATATATTTTGACCACAAGAACACTACACTCTATGAGTTTTTTTCGCAAAAAAAGATGTTGAAAATCGTGCATTTTTTTTTAATTTTCCCTGTATATTTTATATCGAAACTTATCGAAAACTTTTTAGAACTGCCTCTTCACCGCAAACTTCCCCACGGTATAATTTCTTAATCTGTGATATTACCATAGTTACAGCTTTACTCTATGGTTACGGCACTAAAGGGATGCAAATACAGAAAAATCCGGTGGCTCTCAAAATTTTTTCAGAAAAAATATATTTTTTTTTTATTTTTAAACTTAAAAAACTCTGTTATTTTGGACTTATCTGAAAAATAGCAAAGAGAAAATATGTTTCTTTTATCGAGAACTACCAGCCCTGAAAATATTTGTATGGGTACCTGTATACAGGGTGGTTCGAATTGTATTCCGGAAACTTCGGCAGCATATTCTGCAGATAAAAATAAGTAAAAAAGTTTGTATAAATGTATGTCCTAAAATGCTTAGTTTCGGAGATACAGGATGTAGAAGTTTCATTTTTATTTCGATTTTTTCTAAATAATTTCTGCAGTAACGTCAATATTTGGATGAAAATTGGTGTCTGGGAGTTTTTTGACATGAGAAATTTGAATTTGGTGTCAATATGACTCCTACTAGTAGTGGGCGCCACCTACATGTATCTTAACTGTTTTGAAGCGTAATAAATTTTTGTCCGTACCTGTATAAAACTACCGAGTGAAAAAATATACATCTCTGTGACTTTTTACTTAAAAAATATCTCTTTGTAAAAATCGCTACGAGCAACCGTTCCTAAGATATTTAGAATGGAAATAGACAATACATGTCATTATTGACGAAAAATTAAACACTTTGAGTAGATAGTTAATTCACTGAAATAATAAATTTGGGAAATTTTTATTTTTTTAAAATTAATCATAATTTTTCTGCAAAAAATGGTGATAAAACAGTTTCTGTTGAACTTTTGGTACAAATTTATGATCTCAGTCTAATAACTATTTAGTAAACATGTTTAATTTATGTCAACGATGACAGGTATTGATAATTTCGATTCCAAATATCTTGAAAACCATTACTCGTAGCGATTTTTACCAAGAGACCTTTTTCACGTGGAAAACGTCGTAAATGTATATTTTTTACCCAGTAGTTTTATACAGGTACGGACGATTATTACTCTTCAAACCAGTTAAAAAATATGTAGGTGGCGCCCTCTACTAGTAGGAGTCATATTGACATCAAAATCAAATTTCTCATGTCAAAAAAACCCCAGACACCAATTTTCATCCAAATATCGACGTTACTTCAGAAATTATTTGAAAAAAATCGAAACAAAAACGAAACTTCTACACCCTGTATCTCCGAAACTAAGCATTTTACAACATACATTTATACGAACTTTTTTACTAATTTTTATCTGCAGAATATGCTGCCGAAGTTTCCGGAATACAGTTCGGACCACCCTGTATATAATACCTGTATAGGGTCGCTGTTTATGTATGGAAACGGTAGATTATTAGCAATTATTAGGTAAAATATAAGAGGTACCGCAAAAAGTTAAATATAAAAGTTATATAGAGTTTTTAAATTTCTATTAGCGGGTAATAAGTTTAAGTATACAGGGTCTGTCATAAAGTCGTGGCACATCAAAGTTTCATTTTTTTAAATGGAACACCCTGTATATTATTGCATATTTTGGTTCTTTCTTCAATTCTAAGCAAAAATCGGGATACACACGATTTACCTCAAACCAACGGTTTCCGAGTTATTCACTTTTGAAAATATCACTTAAACAATTCGGTTTAATTAAGTTCCATGTGTTCGGTTTCATTCATGTTTTATTTAACGATGCCATTCTGCGGAAACTGTGATACTTAATAATATTTGACATTAGTTTTCAAGTTAGCATTTATAGATGTATAAAATGAGATTATATCAAGTCTGGAAATTACAACATTTCATAATAAAAACTTCATAATTTGAAAGTACTTGAATTTAGGTATCTACATTATGTGTATCTATTATCATTATTGCTTAAAATTGAAGGAATTATTGAAATATGCAATAATATACAGGAGGTTGTCTTTTAAAAAATAATTTTTGATGTGCCACACTTTATGATCAACTTAAATTAACTACTATAAAAATTTAAAAACCCTATAACTTTTGTATTTAACTTTTTGCGGTACCTTGTATATTTTACCTATTAATTGACCGTTCCCATACACATCAGCTACCCTGTATATGACTGTGCTGGACATGAACTTGACAGGATATGGGTTATAGGAAGTACACACTTTTTTAAATAAACAACAAAAAATATATTACACATTTTATGTATTTTATTTACTTTTACTGTTTTTCTACAGTTTGTACACTTTTAATTTTGAACATGTATGTTTAACCTTACCCCCTTCTAGCATTGTACCTAACACTCTTTATCTTCACTTTCTTCTTTACGTTTAGTCTCGTTCTTCTGTTCGTCGCCCTTCCTTATACAGGGTTGCCGTTTTTTCCCTTCATTTTTCGAACGGTCACTGGATTTACTTCGACATCTCCTCAATAGGTCTTTATAGCTCTTTAGACTTTTAATATTTTTTGAGCTATTATTCATTGTTGGTTTGTTCTGTTTGATTGGGTTTTGTTTATTCGGTAGTTTGATTTCTTCGACTGTCAATAGTTTGCAGACCACTCCGGGTTCTTCCCCATCTAAATTTATGAAAATAAACAATTACTACTACTTCCAACTTTTTTAAAGTTTAATAATAACGTTAATAACTACTGTAAAGTCTCTAGAATTAATAAAATACCGCAATAGGCTCTTTCACAAAAAATAAAATACTCAATTCAAGGACAAAATCTGAAATAGAAGACTATTTTCAGTATATTTATCCAAAAAAAAATAGTTCCATGACATTGAATAATTTTTTTATAGGCCCTCAAAATTGCTTTAATTTGAAATAATTTTAAAGTGCCAATTGATGACGTATGAAAAATACGCCCAATCACATTGCAGAACCGTGCTCGTGCGCCAGCCAACAACTGGCAATATTGCGATTTGATTTGACCAGCACCACCTCAACTCAAGGCCAATCAACATAATATGGGCAAGGCAAATATGGCGGCGAAGGCAGCGCATTATTAAATTGTTTACCTTTAACCTGAAAAGCCGGTAGTGGTTTCTAGTTCCGATTGCATACCAGAAATAATTAATTATCTCTAGTTTGTTGTGCTTCTGCAACACGTTTGTTTAGTTCTTAGTGTTCAGTGCATGGTGTGATCAGAAAATTGTGATAAAATAACAGTGTAATAAAAATCCAAACCAGACATTCCACATAGGGAACTTCAAACTTTTGTGCTTGTCGTACTCCTCTATTATTAATTATTTTAAGGTAAGAACTCTGGAAGTATTTATCAAGATATTACACCTAAATGAGTAAAAAGCCTTCGCCGCCAGTCTGCATAGTACTTTATAATGGTTACTTACAATAATCAAAAGATAGGTATTAAAGGGTAGGTATTAACATTTTATTGTAGCATGCCTTTTACATGCTCTGTTCCAAATTGTCACGGGAATTATAGAGGGGGTCCCAAGGTTTCTGCTTTTATATTCCCCCAAAATGACGAGCTTCGTAAAAAATGGTTGACAACTATTAAAAGAGATAATTTCACTCCTACTAGTAGTTCTCGGGTAAGAAGTGCATTAAATATGCCTCAAAAAGGCCAAAGGCCAAAGCCTCTGTTACCCTAGTGAGGATGTAGTTATGGCTACTGCTTACACTTACCTCACTATATATAAGTAAAATATTGGAAGAAGAATCAAGCTTTTTACATCAAAAAGATCACAGAAAGATATTGACAACATTGACATTTGAAAATATAAATGGCCTGGATGTAAGTCATTTTTTAGGTCACAATTGCCCCTCACATATATCAGAATTTATTATTAAATCCATCTTGTTCAGAATATCCAATATTTTATTGAAGAACTGTGCAAAAAAAGGAACGAAGTGTTTACCACAAAGAGAATGCCCTATGTAAAGAGAAAGAGTAAAGAAAACTAAGCTAAGGCGTAAGTTTTACTTACGAACCCCCAAAAAGGTATTTAGTTTTTTTTCTATATAAAATTTTGAAACACATATTATATTTTTTATTTCTCCTCACCTATTATAGTTTAAATTTATTCCCATTTGTGTAATGCTGCAAAACATAGAAAAAATATTCCATATTTTTTGACCCAAGCCAGTGTAGTTTATAATTCCAAGAGCATTTACCAAGGCTTTTACTAAGACAAGTAACTTCCTATACTGTCCATAATAGTATATATTTATCAAACGTTCAGTAAATTCTAAACTATGGTAGATAAGTCTTTGCAATTGAATATTTAGTTTATATTGCCATTTTCTGTCATATATTTCTGGTTATTTCTTTTTCCGATGATTTTGAACACCCTATATATGCTACCTCAAGTTTGAATATTTTAACACTACCTATTTTCTGAGAAAGCAGACCTTTTTATAAAAAGTAACTAACTGATGTTTTCATAAAAGTAATAATACAAAAAATTTCATACTTATGTGGAGAACTTTAGACTCCCTGTATATTAAAAAATTAGTGAAATATTACGTAATCTAACCCGACATTTGTGTGAAAAATGTCTATTTGGAAATAAAACAGGTTTTAAAATACGCACAAAATAAAGCACTTCTACTTCCGCCATATTGGAAAAGGTTGAATGGCCTTGTATGGAGGTGGTGGTGGGTCAGCATGGTTGCCCGGCCGCGGCCGTGTTGCCGTTTTTCAACATGCCAGGTGTGACGTATTAAAAATAAAGTGCGGATTTTTATTCTGGGCTTTTTTGTTTTTATTTATTTTCTTAAGAACGACTTCAAATTTTTCAAAAGTGAGATAGCAGAAAATTATAGAATTAATTGCTTTATTCAATTATGCTAATTCCAAAATATAGTGAAAGAGCCCATTGATGATATGTTTTTATGACAGTGGCGGCTCGTCAGGTGCAGTAGCTGAAGGGGCACTTTACCGAAAAAATACTCAAAATAAAGAAAAAACTTTACTGCTTAAAATATTAATTTAGTTTAATATATTTACATGTATCTAAATAATAAAATGGTAATTTTTTATTTAAAGTTATTTATTTTTTTCCGGGCGGACCTCTGCATAATAGGTCAATTGAATAATATTTGAATGGCTCTTCGGTTGTAACCAACAATTTTTTCAATATCGAAATTTCAGTGAAAAAACCGAAGGAAAAAAAAAACGAAACCGAGGAAAAAACGTCATACTGATATGAAAATTACAACCTTATTTCACTGAAATCTCTATTTTGGAAAAAAATGTCGGTTACCACGTTTTTTGGGGAAGCCATTCAATAATAATTACAGTGTTCGCCATAAAGTTGGATCCATATGGACGTCTTTTTTGGTATTAGAGATAAAATTTTTTTTTTGTGGCAATCAATTATGCTTTAAAAACAACTTAAAATGCATCAAGTCAAAGTTGAAACATAATTTTGTTAGTAACCTATTTTAAAATAATAATAATTTAACCAATTTATAAAAATTTCTTTTAAATATTTTGTATTTGATGTTAGCTGTCAACTTTGACTTTGTGCATTTTAAGTTGTTATCAAAGCAGAAGTGATTGTCACAAAAAGTTTTTTTTAAAACTCTAATATAAAAAAAAACGTCCATATGGATCCAACTTTATGGTGGACACTGTATATACATAATGTTTATTATATTTAATTTAAATTTAATTATATTTTCACTGGAATGCAAAATAAATAATATCAAAAAAAAATGTTGACAAAATGGTGAACGCAGCAAAAATTTTTCAAATAATATTTTAAAAAATGTTGACAAAATGGTGAATGCGCTAAAAAAAATTTCGCCTGCGGCGCAATTTAAAAAAATTAATTCATCTAATTTACCTAATTTTATACCCACGAGTCGCTACTGTTTTATGACATGAATTTAGAAAATTATATGACTTTACATACCGGGTGAGTCTCAAAAGTGGCTCACCCCTATAACTTTTTTATTTTTTAGTTAAAAAAACGAGATTTGGGATGTTAGTCTATGACATAAATTAGGATTGATTGACGTATTCAATTGTTTTCGGTCACTTCCGGTTTCACTGGAAAAGACTACAACTTTTGATTTTTAAATGACTCCCCCGGTATTTTTTTACTTTATTCGATAGAAAATGTCACTCTGAGTAGAATGACATATCATATGTCAACTTTTGACATTTTCGCATATGGTTTATTTGAAATTATAATTTGCGGTTTGTAACGAAAATTTGACTCGAAATACCAAGTGTATGGTATCAAATTATTCGTAAAAAAATGCTTTTTCCAAATATGCTAATGAGCCACCCTCGTTCCATTTGAAAAAATTGAGATATGATTAAAAATACGATTTGAGCATTTTCTAACTGGCCAGGACAAGACACTAAAAACTTTAGACGATCAAATCTATTTTTCCAAGGCTCCTTGATGAAGAATTAGTGTTTTTAACATAGCCACGGCACTCTAGATTGAATTTTAAAATACAATTTTTTATTAAGCGAGAATGTCAAAAGTTGATATATGAAATGTCATTCTATTCAGAATGTCATTTTCTATCGAATAAAGTAAAAAAATACCGAGAGTGCCATTTAAAAATCAAAAGTTGTAGTCATTTCCGGTGAAACAGGAAGTGACCAAAAACAATTGAATACACTTATCAATCCTAATTTATGTCATATACTAAGAAACCAAATCTCGTTTTTTTATCTGAAAAAATAAAAAAGTTATAGGGGTGAGCTACTTTTGAGACGCACCCGGTTTACTTCATACCAAATAAACTTTTAGTCACGTGATTATGCTTGACCGGCACAGCCTTGATCACTTTTACATATTCTTTCTTTTATATCAAAATATTTTAGGAAACAAAAATATATTCATTATAAATATATAAACAGTTATTATTTACATAAACTCAACTAAACTACCTAACTCAACTCCTAACAGCACTTAAGGGACATAAGAAGCCGTTACTACCACTTTCCCGTTCAAAATATTCTAATAAACGTTGCGATAAGTTTTTTACAATGGCTATAAAGCTATCTTGTACACTTTGCACTAAAAGCGGTTCTAAAAAGAACAATGTTCGACTGCAAGGTCTGCTAGTAAAACTTGACATTTTTTACAGCAGAGCTGCCACCTGAATCCCCAGCGGGAAATTTAAATTCCAGTTAGTCAGCTCGGCGCCGAATATGTCCATAGTTGGCAACAATGAATTTAAAAATCGCGCTCTCGATTACGTAACTAAAAGTTTAATTGGTATCGCTTATAGTTTTAATAAGTGTTCTTTTATAGAGAGTGTCTCAATATTCCGTAGACAGGGAACGCCTATTTTTGAATAAAAAGATTAAGGAAGGAACATATTAAAAAAACTTAAGTTGAGCAATTAAATCATTATAATCAATTTAATACGACCAGCAAAAAGCAGAGTTGTCACTGGAGAAATAGACAGCGGCACAGGCATAGCAAGGAACTGCTAACAAACCATAAAGGAACTGCTAATGTAAATAATAAACAGAGAATAAAGTGCGGATTAAACAGGTCTTTTAACAGGACATATGGCTGTCGAGTGGTACCCGAACAAGCTCAACCTGTATCGAGGATGTCTTTGTTGTAGACTCTGCGAAAATATTCTGAAACAGCGGGACACACATATTTCTTAGTTTTTTTATTCATAGAGATATACAAATAGTACTTACCCTCACAAGAAGGAGTTTTGCGACAGATCAGCTTTTTTGATGTAACTTTTATTTTCCTGTTCTTTGTAGACTCCGGGCGACAACTATCTAAGACCTCCTCTGTCTTCCTTTTTCCCTCTGGGATAACTTCTGTGCATATAAATCTAAAAAAATTAAATAAAAGTATACTAAAAATATATATGCATAAATATACAAATTTTCACAAAAATAATAAACAACAGAATA